AAAAAAAAAAAAAAAAGGAAAAGAAAAAAGAAGAATGACCCAGGAGACACAGAATGACCACAGTCATTTTCTTTGAAGCTTCATGTTGCTATAATTACGGCTAGTGATACAGAATGGGAATCTCGATTTCTCTTGAGATATTCTCAGATCCTTATCTTCCCTAAGTTGGGGTTAAGTTCATGGGAGCCTGTGGGAGCAGGAAAGGCTCTCAGAAGAGAGATTTATACTGGACAAGTTTCTTTCTTGTCTGTTTCCACATTCCTTGTTGAAGGGTTATCTGGGTACACATACCCAAGATCTCCTTAGACATGGAATACTAATCTTTGTATTATAATTTTCCATCCCAATGATTTTAATTAAGAAAAACGTTGGCTGCCAGTCTCAGAAGGAATGATTACTTTTTCCTGACAAAAGGCAGTACCTTGGCATAAAGGTTAGGCTGGCACAGAGAATAAAGGCTCCAGGATCTTGGGGGAACTTTCTAAGGGGGATGACAGATGGGAAGTCTTCTCAGTAGAACAGGCATCTACCTTACCTCCTATTCCTTAGCCAGGAGGAAGCCCCGGGACTCCCCAGGGACCACGCTGGAGGTCATTTTCTTTGGCTTTCTATTGTGATAGTCCATTTTCCCTGTACCTTTTCAACATTCCGAGGACCTGGAGTGGAGTTGTCTCTAACGTCATAAATCATCTCTGTGTCCCATCACCAATCAGTGTTATTATTATAATCCCCACTGACACTCTGCCAGCCCTTTTATCTGATGGGAAGGGCTCCTCACCTGGCCTGACCGGGTGAGGAATACTGACGTCACAAGCATCAGAGATAGGCTCCTTCCATCTTCCTGCCTTGTTTATCAGAATGACTCTTCATATAAACTATAGAGCAACTCCCAAGGCCATTCGTGTGGCCATCAGGACTGACAGCTGCTCTTTTTTTTCCTCTTCTCAGCGCCACTTAGCCCCTGAAGTGTTTCGGGAAATCTTTGGAATGTCCATACAGGAGTTTGACAAGTTACCTCTTTGGAGACGCAACGACATGAAGAAAAAAGCAAAACTCTTCTAAGTTCCAACTCTAAAGGACTGACCTAACCGTGGCAGTACCCCAGAGGATGTCATATTGAGGCCCAAACTCAATTGGAGAATTTGCAAACTATCATCGCTCAGCAATACCAAAAAGAGAAAGTCTGGTTAAAACACCCATGAGTCCAACATCAGAACAGCCAAGAGTAATACTTGCCAAGAAGCATGGGGTAGAAACTTCTGTGTTCCGAAACACAGAGTAGTGCCCACATGTGACCTTTTCACATGACCTTATGTACACAACAGGAGCTGCATTGTTTTCTTTTGTTTTCCTCTACCTGTTCTCCAACAGTAGTGCTGACTGTACGGATAAGAGCCAGCAAGTGCCCTTAGGATGCCACATGGGAAAAATCGGTTGTCACAATTTCAAAGTATAAATATATTTATTGTGTAGCGCTGTGGCTAAGAAGGAAGAGTGAGGGGTCTGTCCATGTGGCAGCAGTGATTTCATAGCCACCTTTCTTGACTGGCGTCATGTTGCTTCACCTGCGCTCTGGCAGGTGAACAGGGCAGGTCAGGGAACAGGGCAGCTCTGTTTGAATGGGGTGAATAACAGCAAAATTAATTCTTAACAAGCTCCTTGTTCTCTACCGTTTGCCGGGACCTGGTTGGCAAATGACTTAGCTATTAGTATATTAAAAAACTGTTCAAAAGCAAAAGAGAAGGAACAGGAATGAAAGGGAACCTTCTCTTAACTCTTTCTGCTTCCCATAGCAAGCCTGGTTTCTGGTTTCCGCCGAGGACAGGAGCTGTCTTGAGCTCCACTTTTGCAAGGAAAGGAAAAACAAATTGCCTACAGATTGGCGCAGTGGCATGCCATTAGGTGATTTTGCCCAGAGGCCATATCACTCTTGGCAAAAAAAAAAAAAAAAGTCCCATGTCCTACTGACTCCAGCCCTTCCACCATTGTCCTCTGCTGTCTCTCTGGCATCCTATGAATCAGATCAAGCCCATGCTGTTGGTTTTTAAGGTTTCTTTCAGTAATAGGCTAAGGAAAGACATGTTTTTCTCTTTTAAATCTCTGCAGCTCCAAAGTAGACTTGCTTAAACAGATTTAATTTGGCCTTTTCAGCTTTTTTCTTCCCTAGCTCTGTTGACTTCATGCGTGTGTGTGTGCATGTTGGTTTCACTCACTCAGAGTAATTTTGTGAGTCTGCATGTGCTTTTTAATTTCTACTTGAATGTTTGTCCCACGGTGTTGCAGCTTCTAAAGACATTTTCACCAAGTGTATGTGACTCAAGATCAAGAGTGAGGCTAAACTGCGCCCCCAGCATCACTTCCTTCATGGAAAGGTGTTGGTGCTGATGTAGCTCATAACAGGATCGAGGAAGGATGAGGCGGGATATGGAGGTCAGAGCATCTCGCGAGAGCACCTCAGACTCTGCAATGCTAGATTCAAATTTAAGCCTAGGATTTCACCAACACATGTGTGCAAACAAAACCACATCATGATTCCCTACGTGAATTAGATGAGGGAGAGTGTGTGTAACTCCACACCCAGGAGGTTAAGTCATATTTATTATAGTGCTTTGGGGCTCTGCTTAAGAATTTAAGCTCTGTTTTAAAGCCCAAGAAGAAAGCATTTGAATTTGCCTTCATATGCCGGTGAGAACAAAAGCTCTGAAGTCCTTCCTGCTGGCACCAAGTATTAGGCTTACAAGCTATCTCTCTGACACCAGTGGTAAAGGAGCAAGTAGGATAGTTTCTGAGTCTGTGTTGCAGCCTCTGATATGTGGCTCACTGCCATCGTTTGGGGGCTGGAATGAACACTGTCACTGTTTTGTAGCATCCTCCTGTGCTCTTACTGAAGGAATCTAAATTGTCCTAGCCTTTCAGTGCTAGGCACTGAATATTTGAGGACTGTTCTCGTGTGTGTGTGTGTGTGTGTGTGTGTGTGTGTGTGTGTGTGTGTTGGACCTACTAACATATTTAGCAAATGGCTCTGACAGGGTGGCCATGAGCAGATGAGACCAGCTCTTGTTTGGTTGGAAGGCAGGCAGAAGTTTGCAGTTTAGCCTTTGGTGTCTCAGTGGCCTTTTGCTTATTCCATGCTTTTTCTGTCCCATCTCTCTCATCCTCTTTTTCCATGCCCTCCTGCACTGGCAGCCGTGGCACAGTGCCTGGGTGTGCTCGTCCCTGCTTTACTTGGGAAAGCGTGGGCACAGAGAGGATGATGCATTTCATGTTTCCTTGCCTGTCAGTAACAACAGTGGCCACGTGGGTCCCAGCACTTGGCTGGTGGAGAGATTATTTTTCATTATGGAGCTAATAAAGGGCCCCCATGTTTTACATTGATTAATGAATTATCACCCACACACGTGCAGATCAAATGTCAATATAAGAAAAATTAAGGTATTTGGGAAACATGGGCATAATCAGGTAGTTTTGCTAAAATTCCTCTTCCTTGGTCTTCATAAGGAAGATACGGGTCTGTCATAGAATGGGGACATTAGACTGAAAACCGGGACAACCCCCTTATTTTGTAAAGACTAGGAGTTTAGGGGCCTGCCTAAGATTGCAGTGGTAAAGAACTGAACCCTAAGTCAGCTCCCACTAATGAAACCCTGCTTTCCTTGTATCTTTTAAACTCAGTTCTGCATCTAACTTGAGAAAAGTTCCTTTCTATGTCAAATACTATATGAGTTCATTTAAACTGCACCTTGCAGAAATGCATTGCCAAAAAGCACCAGTAGCTGCCTGTGTGCAAGCAGAGTAGTGCTCTGCTCTGGGGAAGGTCATTGGAAACCGTAATGTGGAGTGGGGCCCCTACTCCATTTCCCAGCAGAAGGCTCTAGCTGGAGGGATGGGTCATGGAGCAGCCTGTTTCCTGCTAACTGCCAGAGCGAATTATGTGGGCTGTAACGCCTATCCATTTGGTTAAACTGGGCTCAGCATGCTTGTCCTCAAAGTGTCCTTCCAGGTCACAGCACACGAGGTGGGTATTGTCTGCTTTCACCCCACCCTGTACTACACATGAAAATTCCAGTTATTAACGCACTCAAACTAATGGAGCTTGTTCACCCTAGGAGGGGAATTATATATATGGCAGGCTTCCCTGGTGCATATGTAAAGGGCTACATTTTGGAACATTTGACTTCCTTGGGACTCTTATGTGCATACTGATGGCATGAAGTAAAAGAGGCCTCTATGATGATATGAAAATCAGTTGGTCTTAAAAAGTTTCTTCAAGAAAACCCAGGTTATCGTGTAGTCTTTCTGTATGACTTATTAGGAGATAGGAAGAGCCTTTGGAAACTTGCACAGCTAGCTATGCATCGACATTTTGGTTTGGGGTTAGTTATGAAACGTTCTTAATATGACTTCTTCAGTAACTTCACATAAACTGCCTATTCTTCAAAACCTCAAAGAGATCAACTAGAGTTAATGAGTTTTTTTTAATGGGGGTAGTTTTCTATCTGTCATGGGCTCTAGCATCTACTCCACTACCCAATTCTGTCATCTCCAAGCTGAGTTTCCTCTTCTGAGGCAGAGGCTGGAGCAGTTCGTTTTCAGTTCTCACCCTCTCCATCCCAATCTGGTCTATCAGTCAACTCTAACTCGGAGATGTCTAGCTGGTAATGTTTCTAAAACTTTCACTGGATTTATTTAGACATCGAAGCAAACTTTTTTTCTAGAATTGCTTCTCAGATGATTATATCAAATATGTATGCTTTTGCAAGTTTGAAAAATTCAAATTAACCACTTTTGACTAGGTAAGTCTTTCTAAAAACCATTTAAAGCTAACTTGGTCTTGGCATCCTCCCATGTATCAAAGGGACAGGTGGCCACACCAGGTTGGGTGCTCACAGAACCCTTTTCCTGACTGTCACGGAAGATGGTGGAAGGAAAATGGACTGTCTCATCAACCTCCTGTGTCCTCTGAAGCAGTCTCAGTTATTAATCACCCCTTCTGTGTTTCTGGTAGCTATTTCATCTGTAGTCCTTATGCCAGCCTCGATTTTATTTGATTTTTAAAATTACTCTCTTCTAACCAATGAAGTGTTTGTCAGTATGCCCCAAAGCTTGCTCTTTTGTGCTCCCTTTTGAAGAACTTTCTATCCAGAAAAAGAGATTATTTGGGACTTGAGATTTGCAGTGATACCAGCTTATAGCAATGATGTACTTTAAGGGAACTATTCAACTATGTCGTGATAGGAGAAAGAGAAACCTTCACTTTGGCATTTTTAAAATACAAAAAAGAAAAAAAAAATCACTGTTTTTTTTTCTGTTTGCTGCCCAGGAAGCAGTGGGAGGTGGTGACAGATACACTTTGCATATGGATTGTTAGGTTTTTATTTGGGCAAGTTTAATCATGGAAAACTCAAAAAGAAAGGGGGAAATGGTCAGTTTAAGCTGAAAGAAACTTTCTAAGCAATGAATATGTACACAGCAAAATTAAACAAATCCAACAATTTCTGAAGCTTAGTATAATTGAGTGGCAGTTGTTATTCAATAAAATTCTTCCCAAAAGTGTTTCTCCAAAGAGTCCAGTTCCCATGAGTCACTTCCTGACCTTAGTGACCAAAGGTGGACAGAGACAATCGTGTAGACTTTGACTTTCAGAAAGATGTGAGCTGCTTTCTGATCATATATGCATATGTTTCTTTACAGCAGAGGAAACCATTGTCCGCAAAACTGATGTTCTTTTGGGGTTTTATGTACAGACTTGTCCAATGATGTGTGTGGTTCCTGTGAGTTGCCGACAGCTCTGCATTGAAGCTCTCTGGGCTCTTTCATTTTTAAGTTGGGTTTATGGAATATTTTCAAATGTTGGAAGGCATATAGTTCTTCTGCCCTCCCTCCCCTTTCAGAAATATGAAAGCAAATATTTAGAAGAATTCCTTTTGAAAAGCTGTGTTGTGTTCCCCATGAAACTGAGCAGGTGTGTGTTGGCGCGCTGAGTGCCACGTGCTTGTGTGCAGAGGAGAAGGTGGCCCTGCCAGCTCCACGCTGCTGTGCCTGTGACCCTGACCTGCTCCCCGCTCCTGTTGCAAGCAGCACTCACTGCACTCCTTTGTCATATACTCTGCATCACTGTCATACTCACAACTTCGTGAATAAAGTTGTGTGCTTTATTCGTACACGCCTCCATTCCTGTTTCATTTCGCCTTCTCTGGTTCCCTTTGAAGGTTGATCTCATTTTAGAAAGCACCAACACAACTTCCAATAACCAAACAAAATCAGAATGAACCCAAAGCTGGAGGAATGCATTTTTATCGTGCAGGTGGGAAAATGCAACAGATAACAGCAGGCTATTCCAGGACTGTGCATCCAACAGCCCAGACCACATTGACCAAGCTGACTAAAGGAAAGAAATTGTTAGTAGAGACGTTGCACTGTGCTGTGTCATGGATGCTTGATTTGATTTGTGACACAGCAGGTGTAGTCCCATCATTTGGACAGAGCTGGGGATTTGAGGAGGTTTGAAGCTCTGAGCCACTATGAGTGGGCCATTTTTTAGTAGGAAGCTAGAATGCAGTAGGAGAAAAGCATCCTTCCAATTTTGGGCATCCTCTGCATTATCAAACTTTACATGAAGAAATCGTGGATGCTAACTTTGTTGTTACCTTCACTGCCAAGATTTTAGGGTTGCCAGAAGATACAAGGATCTATGTCCAAGTTGGCCTGCTCCAACCACAGCCTGCCTTCTGCTCTGTGCCTGCTGAGCCTGTCCAGGACCCAGTCGCACTGGTATTCACATGACCCTCCCCTGGAAGTAGGATACAGGTCATTTTCAAGACGGTAGTCATGTTTAGTTCACCACCATGGAAAACAGGTCAAGAGACCTCAGCTCAAGGTCTGTGTTCTTCTCACCGTGGGAGGGCGTCCCCGCTGTGGTCCATAATTACCAAAGCTAGGGGTCATCTCCAGTCCTTAAGAACTCTCTGTGGCATTTGGCTCTGGTGGCCACCTCTTCAATGGAAGTTGACCCCTGCCTCACTTCAGTTGCTAGACTTTAGTCAGTGAATCTCACGCCGCCTTTGCTGGGAGTGAAAGGATCTTGCCCCACCCACTGCTCAGCTGCCTCTCCCCCAGTGCCCTGCCTTCAGATCTCGCCAAACCACTGCAAGCTCCCAAAACATACCATGCTTGCTCTCTGCCAGGCAGCTTTATCAAAGGCATTTCTTCTGTACGATGCTTCAAGGAAGTGGCGGAGCACAGAGGACCTGACCCTGGGGAAAGGAATTAATGGCCAACGTTGACTCTTTAAAAATAGTTACCCATCAGCTCTTTGGAGTTACCCATGTGAATTTCCCATGGGCTCCATTTGTTCCAAATTAAAGACGAGCCCAAGTTCCCACCCTTTCTAGGAGCCCGTCTTAATGGGCCCAGCGCAACCTGTGTGTAATTCTTTGCATGCCTCTAGTGGAACCTCAAGGTCAGTACTTAGCAAGCATTGCCCCGTAGTGCTAGCTGCATAGGTTTCTGCTCTTCAGCTGAACTATAGTGAGATCTCTGTGCTGAGTGCCAGGCACCCTAGCTTTGCATGACTGTATTGCTCATGACAGCCTTTCAAAGTAGACAGTTGTAGCTCCACTATACTGGTAGGAAACCAAAGCTCAGAATCTAATCAAGCATGCCCAGTCACTCAGCCAGTGAGCAGCAGAGCTAGAACTGTCCAGGTCTGCCCTCTTCAGACCCCACACTGTTATCCTCCACATCCCACTCCTTGTGACTGTCTTAGCACAGGGACTGTGTGCCACATTCTCAATCTCTCAGAGTGCACTGCCCCAAGTGGGTTCTTAGTATGAGACTGACCAGCACCCTTCAGTCTGGCCACGAGCCGCAACACTACCAGCAAGGCGTATTTATGAACAGTTTGGGGGCTACTCACCAGCTATGCGTCTTGAAGCCCATTAACCTCTCTTCAGCCTCAGTTTGTTCATCTGCAGAATGGACAAAATAATAATATCCATCAGAAGACTGTTGCCAAGTTATAGCACCTGAGTGCTTAGGTGGTAGAATAAGGACTAGTATTATTTTAAATAATCATTTGAGAATGATTTCGTTTTCATTCTGGGCTTTTTACCCCTCCCTTTAGTCATTTTGTTTGTGTTCACAGGGCCTTCCTCATGGATTCTCCTTCTAGTCTTTATATAAATACTCCAGGATTAAAGTAAGCCCACAACCTCTTTTATATACTTCAATAACAGCACGGTCTCCACCCAAGCATAGTCTAAGATAGAGATCCCTGAAGATGTGCTAATTAGTGTAGTAATAACCAGAAGTATTACTCAGAGCCGAGTGCAGGGTATAGCATCAGGCTGCCTGGGTTTGAGTCCCAGCCCCACCAGTAGCTATCTGTGTGACTAATAGTTTGTTTAACTTCCTTAAGCCTCAACTTCCATGTCCAGAAAAGAGGAATAATAATGATACCTACCCTAAAAGATTATTATGAGAATTTCTGCAGAACAAGAGCCTGCGTAATACAACAATGAGCATTTTAAATGGCTTTTATTAATGAAGTAGCTCTCCTGTCATGTTCTGTTTGCCCAGCCCTGAACTAAGCATGTTTTGTGGTTTCTTTCATATATTCCTTAGGTTGCTTCCAAATAGACCCAGAGAGACTGTCTCTGAGTGGTGGGGCTGGGATTCAAACTCCGGTCTCTCCAGTCCTAAACTCTGCTAATGGGCAAGTATTATGCAGAGAGGGTCACGGGTGTCCCCATGCACTGTGGCCATCCAGCATGGCAGACTCCTCAAATGAAGCATCCAAAGGTGCCAGGTTGGGGCTTAGCTGCTCTGAGGGTTTCCTGGGTGAGGAGGATTGTTGTAGCCTCCTCCAGGGATGCTTAGAAACACTCCCTGCGGAAGAGCTAAGACTTGTTCCCATGAAAGGTGGTGTTTGTTCCAGAAAGATCTTTTCAATGGTTTGACTCACTTCAAAGGAACCAAAGGCTGTAAAAGCTGAGCTGCTGGTCCTGAGAGTCTTGGGGGATATTTCCTCAGCGGGAGAAAGCCACCAGTCCTCCCCAGCCCTCTTGCCCATTGCTGGAAGAAGGCTACTCTCCCCCCAGCTCATTGCTGAGGTGTTTCTGTCAGCCCCACCCTGCTGGAGGTGGCCCACTGTGGGCGGGAAAGCCCTGGGAAGGACGGGGACTTGGAGCTGGCAGCGTCTTAGAAAGCCAGGGTGGGTGGGAGAATAGCACCCAAAGCTTCAGGGAATCTCAGCCCTAAGAACCCGCTTCTGCACCTTCTTCCCCACAGGAGACCAGGACTCTGAACACACACGTCCCTTCGACTCCGGCAGAGCTCAGGGATAGGCCTTAGCGAGTCGGGTCTGCGGAAGGGTGGGTAGTAGGACCACATTTATTTTACTTTCCAATCTCCACTGGATAAGCAGCTCTCCAGGGCTTGCCATTGAGCTGAGCACAATCGCAGCTCCTGGAGAGGGTTTTCTGTATTTATTTGTGCTGTCCCCTGCTGCTGGCTCTTAACTCAGCCCTTCCCATCAGATAAAAAGAAAAAAAGTTGGCTTGGGAAGCCTCCCCTTCAGAGCAGAGGCTGTTCCTGCTTTGCCCCTAGCATATGTTAGCTGCGGTCCCTCCCAGAATATCCCGAAGGGGCTGGAGGCAGGGCAGAGCCTCAGCAGCTTCTAGCCCCAGAGCTAGCCAGATTCAGACGCCCGGGTATCTGAGTCCAGATGCTAAGAACAGTGTGGTCTGATGGCAGCAGCCATGAACATTCTTTGCAGGCCTCCAAGTGCCAGGTGCTGGGCTAAACACTCTAGGCAGATTATTTTGTTGAATCTGGGAAGGGCAGACCAAGACTGGGAGAGGCCCGCTGACGGGTGGGCAGCCCCCCCCATCAAGTCCAAGTGTCACCTTCCTCCTAAGGTAGTTACAGCTCTCTGGGGTCTCCACGAGGCCTTCTAAGGATGTCAAAAGGACTGTCTGCAAAGACAAATACCAGGCTTTCTCAGCAAGGTGGAGCCTGGCCATGAATAACATTTTGTTCTAAGCTGGACGGATGCTGGCACAGAAAGAATAGGTTCTTTCGTTCCTGCTATTGTCTTAAAACATAGCTTCTTAATGAAAAGCTAGAAAATGTTGGTGCCAGTTACAATCCCATCAGATAAGAGCAAGGGTCAGCTGGCTTCTCCTGTTGAAAAAAAAGAAAAAATTATTACGTCCCTCTTTTACATAAAAACAAAGTGCTTCAGACAACACAGGGTAAGTAAATTGCTCGGATTTATTAATCATTTTTTCAATCAAATGGCTTCCACTTGCACACGCGTGACCTATAATCCTCACAAGCCACTGGGATGGATATTGCTCCTCTCCATACACAGATGAGAGCTAGCCTGGCTTGTCCTAGCTCAAAGGGAGACGTGGAGGAAGAGCTAAGATCTGGACCCACGTTTAACTCCAAAGCTCAGGCTTCAGTCCACAAAGAGGCTTTGATTTGGTAGATCTGGGTTCGGAGCTGTGAAGTTGAATCTTACAACAAAATATAAAAGCCTCCAGATAATTCTGATGGTCAGCCAAGTTTGGGAACCCTTCCCCACATCCTGGGGTCTCAGGTCAATGGCAGAGCTGGTCTGTGAATGAATCAAGCATCCATTGCCAGGATTTGTCAGTCACCGTTGCCCTAATTTACCAGACCACAGTCAAACAAGGCCTGGGAAACCTGCCCTCACTGAAACCTCCATGGGAAATCACCCGCATCTTCCTTCAGCTTGGCAAGGCTTCAGCCCTCTGAATGCCCCCGGGGAGATTCCACCGCAATCTGCTCAAGTGTCACCTTATTTGCAAGGAGATTATCTCTTGTAAAATGCAACAGTATGAGATGAGAGAATCAGGTGCACCACAGCTTAAAGGAAAAGCAATCCTCCTGCATCATATTATCCCTTTCTCCCCTCACAACCTTGAAAAACCTCTGAATATTGAAAAAATGGCCTAGAAATATTATTATTATACCAACTTCCTTCCTTTTCAATGTACTCTCATTCTCTTCATTCTATTGTTTGTTAGGAGGGTGAATAAGTGCTGGTCTTAAGTTTCCTGTGGAGACAGTCACTCCAGGGAAACTTAGTAACTGTCCCCAGGGTATGGCTGGAGGGAGATTAAGAGCAAGCAAGCAGGAATTCTGATTTCAAACTCTTCTTTTATAGAAAGTGGCTGTTTTTAGTTTTGAGCCTTTACATATCTGCATATGCAGTGGGTCGAAATAGTGTCTCCCAAAAGATGTCTACCTCAAACCTCAGAATGTGGCTGTATTTGGAATAAAGGATCTTTGGAATATTTGTTTGGAATAAGGGTCTTTGCAGATGTAATTCTACCAAACGACACATGCATGAAATGTGCATCACTGTGCCGTTCACAATAGCAAAGACAGGGAATCAACCCAGCAATGGTAGATTGGATCAAGAAACTGGTCCATATGCACCATAGAATACTATGAAACCATAAAAAGTATGACACCGTATGGTTTACAGCAACGTGGATGGAGCTGGAGGCCAGCATCCTAAGCAAGTTAACACAGGAGCAGAAAACCAAATACTGCATGTTCTCACTTCTAAGTGGGAACTAAACTTTGAGCACATATGGACATAAGTATGTGGACTCTAAGAAGGTTGGGGAGGTGGGTTAAAAAACTACCTATCGGTTACTACGTTCATCACCTGGGTAATGGGATCTATACTCTAAACCTTAGCATCACACAATATTCCCATGTAACGAATCTGCACGTGCCCTTGTGTCTAAAATAAAAGTTGAAAATAAAACAATCAAGATGAAATCTTAACTAGGAGGTTAGGTAGGAGGAATAAGTTCAAGAGATCTCTTGTATAACATGGGGACTACAGTTAATAACAATATATTATATACTTGAAAATTACTATGAGAGTAGATTTTAAGTTCTTGTCCAACAAAAAGTGCTATGTGAGGTAATGCATGTATCAATTAGCTTGATTTAGCCATTCCACATGTACACATTTTAAAACATCATATTGTGTATCATAAAGATATGCAACTATTTGTCAATTAAAAAATTAATTTTGTAAAACACTGCCCAAATTAGGTTGTTCCTTTGAAGTATGAAGTAAATTTGATTATTAATCACTAGATTTCCCTCTAGACACCGCTTTAAATGTGTTCCAGAGATCCTGGTACGTTGTGTCTTCATTCTCATTGGTTTCGAAGAACATCTTTAATTCCGCCTTCATTTCATTATTTATCCAGTAGTCATTCGGGAGCAGGTTGTTCAGTTTCCATGTAGTTGTGTGGTTTTGGGTGAGTTTCTTAATCCTGAGTTCTAATTTGATTGCACTCTGGTCTGAGAGACTGTTAAGATTTCCATTGTTTTGCATTAGCTGAGGAGTGTTTTACTTCCAATTATGTGGTCAGTTTTAGAATAAGTGTAATGTGGTGCTGAGAAGAATGTATATTCTGTGGATTTGTGGTGGGGAGTTCTGTAGATGTGCATTAGGTATGCTTGGTCCAGATCTGAATTCAAATTCTAGATATCCTTGTTAATTTTCTGTCTTGTTGATCTAATATTGACAGTAGAGTGTTAAAGTCTCCCACTACTATTGTGTGGTAGTCTAAGTCTCTTTGTAGGTCATTGAGAACTTACTTTATGAATCTGGGTGCTCCTGTATTGGGTGCATATATATTTAGGATAGTTAACTTTTCTTGTGGCATTGATTCCTTTGCCATTATGTAATGCCCTTCTTTTTCTCTTTTGATCTTTGTTGGTTTAAAGCCTGTTTTATCAAAGACTAGGATTGCAACTCCTGCTTTTTTTTTTTTTTTTTTCTGCTCTCCATTTGCTTGGTAAATCTTCATCCCTATATTTACTTTCAAATTAAAATTAAAATCCTGACATCTCATTTCTCTTTTCTGTAATTGGTTATTTTTGTACAATACAAAATGCCAAGTTCATAACGTTTATTCTAATGAGTCTGTTCTGGCTCCCAGAAGATGCCTCAGTTCAAATCACTAAGCTTTATGCTCACTATTTCTCAATTTTTGTAATTAAAACAACAGTATTTAAATGGATCCTTTTCATTCTGGGACAAAATGTTCCGTCAAAGACTGAGCATGATGGGTTACACCTGTAATACCAGCACTTTGGGAGGCTGAGGCGGGCTGATTGTTTGAGGTCAGGAGTTCGAGACCAGCCCGGCCAACATGGTGAAAGACCGTCTCTACTGAAAATACAAAAATTAGCCTGGTGTGTGGCGCATACCTGTAATCCCAGCTACTCAGGAGGCTAAGGCAGGAGAATCGCTTGAACCCAGGAGATGGAGGTTGCAGTGAGCTGAGATGGTGCCACTGCACTGCATTTTGGGAAATAGAGTAAGACTCCATCAAAAAAAAAAAAATGTTCTGTCAAAGCTTTGAAGTTCTTTCAGCTCTTTCCAGCTGGGTGTGGTGGCGCCCACCTGCAGTCCTGCAGTCCTGGCTACACAGCAGGATGAAGTGGGAAAGTGGCTTGAGCCCAGGAGTCCTGGGCTGTAGTCCACTGTGCTGATTGGATATCCATACTAAGCTCAGCATCAATATGGTAAACTCCGGAAAGGAGGGACTACCAAGCTGCCAAAGGAGGGGTAAACCAGCCCAGATCAGAAGTGGAGTGAGACAAAAATCCCATGCTGATCAGTAGTGGGAGCGTGCATGTGACCAGCCTAGCCACTCACTCCAGCCTGGGCAACATAGCAAAACTTCATCTCTTACTAGAAAAAAATGTTAAGAGGCCTTTCCAGTGGTAAGAAATAGATCTGTCCTTCTTTGGCCATGTTTTTTCTTTGCCCAAGCAGAGGCATGAGAGAGCATCTCCTACCACACCTAGGAGAAGTGAGAGAGCTCTCTGCCCTTCTCTAAAGATAGCCAAATGCTTCCAGATCTGTAGCTCTGTTGTCCAAGGATGCCTCTCTTTCTCTGTTGCTGACCCAGGAGTATTCCCTGTAAAATGTTCTGCAAACAGGTCAGGAAGTCAGCTTCCAGATAGAATGGGCTTTTCTTTGAATCTCTGAATCTGCAACCCTTGAATGGAGAAAGCCCCCTTCCCTTCTCTCCAAGCAGCCAGGCAGTGGATGTTCCATGAGAACTCATTCATGTTGGGAAAAAACAAATGCAAGTCGGAAAAAATTGCTTCTGAAAAAATGGCCCTTGTCTTTTCATATGTGGCCCTACTCTGACTGAGGATAGAAAGTTGTCTTTCCATTTTTGGAGCTCACACATTACTCCTGTTTCCATTGCTACTTTCTACCTGAATGTGGTTTCAGATTTTTAAAATACACTATCAGAGCACTTTGGTTAATCATAACTCATCATTCATGGTTTCCAGGTAATCGATAAACACTGTTATAAGAAGGCAACATAGAGGCCAGGCGCAGTGGCTCATGCCTGTAATCCCAGCACTTTGGAAAGCTGAGGAGGGCAGATCACCTGATGTCAGGAGTTCAAGACTAGCCTGGCCAACATGGCGAAACCCCACCTCTACTAAAAATACAAAAATTAGCCAGGCATGGTGGCATGTGCCTGTATTCCCAGCTACCTAGGAGGCTGAGGCAGGAGAATCGCTTGAGCACAGGGGTTGGAGGCTGCAGTGAACTGAGATCACACCACTGCACTCCANAAAAAAAAAAAAAAAAAAAAAAAAAAGGCAACGTAGAATAAAAGAACTTTCTGGAGGTCTGGGCTAGCAAGGGGTGTTCAAGTGTCTGCACATGGGAAGTATGCCTCACACAGTCAATGCCTTTGAATGACCGCAAATGATGTTTCCTAGTTATGCTAGTTTGTCTTAATTCTCAGTGGGATACAGAGCCCTGAAGCCTTTCTAAGATCTCTCTTTTTTTTTTCAGTAACAGCTGTACTGTATCTAAAGTGAGAGGTGTGGTGCTGGGTGTTACGGAAAATATGAACATGAACACAGGCTGGGGCTATGGGAGCAACTGAGGTGTGTAGGCTCAAAATGTAAGGCAATGCTTACTCTAGGGCTTATGTGAATGTTGACCCTGATAAAGCACAATCTCTGCCCTCAAAGAGCTTGGAAGGGCCAGGCGTGGTGGCTCATGCCTATAATCCCAGCACTTTGGGAGGCCGAGAAGGGTGGATCACCTGAGGTCGAAAGTTCGAGACCAGCCTGACCAATATGGACAAACCCCATCTCTACTAAAAATGCAAAATTAGCCAGGTGTGGTGGTACATACCTGTAATCCTAGCTACTCAGGAGGCTGAGGCAGGAGAATTGCTTGAACCTGGGAGGTGGAGGTTGCAGTGAGTCAAGATCATGCCATTGTGCTCCAGCCTGGGCAACAAGAGTGAAAGTCAATCTCAAAACGAAAGAAAGAAAGAAAGAGAAAGAAAGAAAGAAAGAAAAGAAAGAAAAGAAAGAAAAGAAAGAGAAAGAAAAGAAAGAAAAGAAAGAAAAGAAAAGAAAGAGAAAGAAGCTTGAAGTCTGGAAGGCAACATAGGTAGGTAACTAATAGACTAGATTTGAGGCTTAAAGTAGATGAAAAAGTTCAAAAACTAAAAGCGAAATAAGGCTTAAAGACCCAACTATAAAACCGCAAACTATAGAATTCCTTGAAGAAAATACAGGAGAAAAATTCCATGAATTGGTTTAGGCAAAGAGTTCTTAGAAACGATACCAAAACCATGATCCAGAGAAGGAAAGAAATTGATAAATCGGTCTTCATCAAAATTAAGAACTTCTACTCTTTGAAAGATATTATAAAGAGAATGAAACAAGTCTGAGATTGGAAAAAGCGATTTGCAAATCACATATCTGATCAAGGACTTGAATGAATCCAGAGAAAGTAGATAAAGAACTTTCAATACAAAGTGTTGCAAGGATGCAAAGCAAGTGGGATTCACACACTGATGGTGGGAGTTCAAAATGACACAATGTTTTGGAAAACAGTTTGATAGTTTCTTAAAAAGATATAGACCCCTAACATAAGAACCAACAATTCCACTCCTAGGTATTTATCCAAGTAAAATCAAATACTTAGTTCACGCAAAAACCTGTACATGAATATTTATACTGACTTTATTCGTAATTGCCAAAAACTAAAACCACAAATATTCTTCAACTGGGGAATAAATAAACAAACTATAGCTCATCTATACAATGGAATGTTACTCAACACAAGAAGGGATAAACTTTTGCAAGAACATGGGTAAATCACAAATGCATTATGCTAAGTGAAAGAAAAGTCAGAGGTTTTCAGGGGACAGGATTGGGGGGATGGATTGACTACAAAGGGTCACAGGGAAATTTTAAGGTTGATGAATGGTTCTGTATCATAATTGTGGTCATGATTACAGAACTGTATGCATTTGTCAAAAGACACAGAATGATACTCTAAAAAGGGTGCATTTTACTGCACATAAATAACAATTTAAAAATTGTGAAATAAAAGCAGTTCAAAAAACAAGCTTTTATTGACAATGCTAGTGTATTGGGAGCTGTGAGATGTTGTAAAGGGAGTGGGATACATATTCAATCTTGAAAAGTTTATGCGCCTTGCAACAAACCAGGCACTATGCTAAGCACTTGAGCTAAAACTGTGAGCAAACAGATATTAATCAAATAATCCCACAAACATAAACAGAGGGGTAAAGCATGTAAAGAATGAATGACCTGATTAATTCTATCAGCAAAGCTTCTCTGGGAAATACTTCTATTTGAGTTGCAACATGGGCTGCAGCAGGGTGGAGGATGAGGAGCTGAGGATGGTGCAAAGGATAACGTGTAGGTTTCTGGCTTGTGCAACAGGCTAGGTGGTAGACCCTGCAGTGTGCACTAAAGGAGGAACAGATTTGTGGTGGAGTGGGAGATCGCAAGTCCAGCAAAAAAAAAGAACAAGTGTGAAACCACAGAGAGCAATGCGTGATTAAGACTATGCAGTGGAC